TAGACTGGTCACAGAATGTATGAAATAGAAAATATAGGATGTGTGTGATGCTTTGGCATATGAGATCATTGCTTTCATTCTAGATTAGCAGTTTTTGAAGGATTCTGGGTAGCTCAGGTTCCTCAAGTTATTTTGGATAATTGAAAGGTTTTGTAAATTGTTTATGACTTTATAAACCACAGCTTTAAAGGCAGTGTTGAGAGGCACTTCATCAGTTACAGTTGGAATCATCCCCAGAGAAGAAAAAAATTCCCATCAAAGAGAAATTTACTTCAAGCCCTGTGTAGACTAATATTATTTTATCTAGTAAACTGAATTTGTGAACCTTCTGGAGACTTTTCAAAGGTAGATGTGTGAGAAGCAATTATTTCCTACCAAAGAACAAACAAAGGAGAAACAACTTTCAACTACCTGAAAGCCTGAGTACCTGGAGCACACAGATGGGCTCAGGGAATCTGGATAGCACAAATAAAATTTTGATGAGAGTGAAGTGAAAGAAGCTAAAGAAAGGTGATAGCACTTCCTTTTCCTTCTAAGGTGTGCACAGAGTTAGAACCAGGAAAACCTAAGAATATTTCATTCACAAAGACTGTGAAATACAGAGATGGCATTTTTGCCAGGAATAAATTTATCTATGTTAATGAAGTTGTGTATTGGGGGTTGTATGAAGTATTTATTCACATTCTGGGATGGGATGTTGCCCTGTCTAGGTAGAGACATATTTTAGAGTTGTTTTCCACATAGCAAAGATAAAGTACTGAAAAAAAAACAGAATCAAAATTTCCACTGCTTAGAGTGCTTTCCTGGCTTAAATCCACAATGCTAGAAAGAACTCCAAACTAAAAAACAGGTGCACTATGTCCAAAGGCATTTAGGTGCCTAATTGTCTGTGAAAACAGTATGAGCTGTTGAAGATCTTGACAAGTGTGATTTATCTTACAGGGACGCCACATTCTCCTGCATTCTTGCATCTTCTCCTAAGCCACGACCCGACATTGCCCATACGACCTATCCCACCGGCGGCTGAATTATCGCGCAGATAAGCTATGTGCCAAATGTTCTGCGTCAACAGTGGGATATCATGTTTTGTAATTCCCATTCAGAAAGGTGGCTTTGAACGGAAGTTATTAAGGAGCCACAAGTGGAATACTTGTGCTAAGTGAGTGTAGCTGGGGCAGGTCCAGCCACTGAAACGGAAGAAACTCAAGACCAGGAGTCAGTCACCAAGGACAGACCAGCCCAAGGCTCCAGAAGGAAACTCAGCCAGGAAAATGAGAAATCAGGGGTACCTCAAACCAAAGAGCAAATCAAGAGCAAGGTCAAGAAATCAAAGAGCTTGCACTGAAAGTTGTGGATAAATGTGAGCTAGGACTAGAACAAGACAATGCTGGCTAGCTGAGAGGCAGGAATCATCAAGAAACAAAGGGGTATTTGTAAGGCAGTGAAATCAGTTTGTGGAACTGTAGCTGAATCAGAAATCAGAAATCAGTATGGCATCCCTTGGACAGACAGGAGTCCCAGGACACCAATCTCCCAGGACGGTATTGAGCCAACTCCTGGCTGCAGAGCTTGACCACTTGCTCAGGGCCTAAGAGAGGATATGTGTGTAACGTGACACAAATCATCAGTTTGTTCATTCAATGCAGATATGTCAATTTCAAGGAATAATTCATACAATCACCAATCGGGACCACCAGATCTCCCAGGTCTCTTCTTTTCTGATTTATGTAACTGTAGGTTGTGTCTTGGGGCAGAAATGAAGTTGGGGTATGTGACTGACAGTACCATCTCTCAAGCCTCCTTTGGCTCTGGGGCTGTGCTACAGCCCTTCATGCTCTGCAGGCACTTCTGCCAGATGTGCTTACAGATCAAGACAAGCTCTGTGTTCAGGGCTGCAAAGCAGAACAGCTTCTGTAGTGGCGATGACAAAGATACGGTCCTTGCTGTGAAGGAGATGGGCACCAGTTGTTTGTGTTTTGTCTCAGTGTGAGACAAAAGACACCGATTATAGTTATTCCTGAAGGGTGGCCACATCAGAAGTAGAATATAGTCATTAAATCTGTAGATTGAAAGTAGGTATAGGCTTTAACATCTTGCTGAATTATTGGCTCTGTAATTGCCAGGGGACATTAAAAGGTTAGTCTACTAGTTTAAGTACAGCATACAATAGAAGTCAGGCACTCATAGCGGAGGAAAGATGCAGCAATATCAATACAAATGTGCTTTACAGTGATATTGCTGGATAAATGCTATCTGCAGAATATAACTATTTCAGGTTTTAAAATATAAACAAAAACCTGCATATTTAATAAAATTTTAGTAAAATTTTAGTTGTAGACCACACCAAAGAATAAATATGCTGTGTATTTTCCATGTCAGATCAAGACCTTTTGCAGTTCCCACTAACCAAACTGCAAAAAAAAAAAGAAAAATGTTGTTTAGAATCCAAAAAAGTCTCAGTTTGCTTACTACTATATATGTGAAAAAAATACATGTGAAAAACAATCATTGATCAAACAGAAAATTAAACATTTTTGGTTCAAAAATAAGCTCCATAATGAGAAAATAAAATTATTTATGAAGTCAAACGACTTTTAAATCTTTAAATTCCCCACATACCTTCTAGGATTATAGTAACCTGTGGAAGGTCATTATAGTTATAAGGGAAAAGATTAAATAAGCACTTAAGCAGACATAAATAAAACAGACAGGTTAAAAGCTATTAAATTGAACAAAACTAGAGGGAAACTTACCAGTGTTGCAAAGGAATCCAAACACAGAAGGAAACAAACACAATGTTGCAAATAGCTAGTGGGACAAGTACAAATTCTTATTAAGTCCCAAGTCATCTATACCAAAGAAAGTTCTTGGTCCATAAGGAGGAGTATGACAATTATATTACATGAAAACTTCTGTAATGAGTTCAAAGCTTTTCCCCCAAAAATAACACATAGCAGGATATAAAATTTGCATTAAAATTATAAGACAATATGATTGAAAACTAGTAGCTAGAAGGAAACCTAAGGGAACAGACTACTATGATATTTGCTTCAGCCAATGCTCAGCTGGAGTGCCATACCCCTTCCTCTGACACAAATACCCATCTGTTGAGGGAGAAAAACAGGAGGCCGAAAAGAGGGCTTGAAAATGAAGTCTGCATTCTTCCCAGAAAAGTCAGACTGAAGACAGGCAACATTTTCTGACTTAGCAAATACTGAAAGACAGTGTACATATATATATATATGTGTGTGTGTGTGTTTGTGTGTGTGTGTATGCATGTATGTATGTATGTATATTTATGTATCTGTCAGACAGTCATTTGGATCAGGAGCATGCAGGGAGGGATATGCTTGTGACAGAGGTGTTGGGGTGATGGAAGTGCAGTGGCTGCTGTGTCTCTTGGGACATGGCTGGAAATGTAGCTTGGTCTCTAAACCAGCAATTTCATTTCTCCAGGGAAAAATAAATCGGCAACATGTGAAGGAAAAGCATATAATAAAAAAGAAACAGAGTATTTTAGTTATTCTTGGGGGTGGGGGGGTAACTAAACTTACAGAGGTGTAGCTTCACTGACTTCACTGAGGACTCTTTCTGCTAATAAAGCTTTTAAAATGAGGGATAGATTATACTCCAAGTATGGATATTTCTAAATATGTCTGGGTTTATATATTTCTCAATATTTCTATTTTTATTTTTCTGACTTTTGCCTGTACAAAATATAAACAAAACCATTCTTAACTAGTTCTGTATGCCCCGAAGAGACAAAAGTATGCATGTTTTATAGGGAATGAAAAATACATACCATTTTGTTGGGAAAAAAATAATTAAATACAGAATCAATTAAAAATGTTATGGAGGTCACCATTAAAAAATGTTCATACTGGTGTCATGCAAATGTATCTCTGAAACTTCATTCTGTGTTTCAAATGCTTCCATCTACCAATTTTGGATAAATATTGACTTCTAATGGCATCTAATGTACCAACAGGCATAGATGCTGCTTAATTCAACAACATCAGTTAAATGCAGGTCATTGAGTTAATTAAGAGTACATCTGTTATAACTCATCATTTTGTTCTCCCTAATTTTAATAAGCAATTTTGCCAGCATGCTTACTGGAAATATTACAACATCATCCCACAGGACCTATTTATCTGGTTCAACTGTATATTGTTTAAACAGAGGGTCAAACCAAAGGCTTGCCATTTTGTCCATAAAACGGGTCTAAGATTTGCCTTAAGATTATGGCACATCTGCAGGAGGGAGAATACTTTTCCACAGGTCACTTAAGTCATCCTGAGCAAAAGGAATGCCAACACCAAAGATGCACCGAGGAATGACAGCCATAGCCACTGAGAGTGAATAACCTGAGATTCAGGACGAGGAGGCATCCTGGTTCTATTTTCTGTGCATGCCGAGATTTGACGTGTGCTTAACCCAGCTGGGGTTAGGAGCCCAAACAGAGTAAGAAAAGCAAACTCAACTCAGGCAAAGAATGCTTTGTCCTACCTCAGATTTAGCCCTCAGGTGATCAAGCACTGCATGCTTTTAATTTTACTGGCTAGGGATATTTTTCTTAAATGTTCAGAGAACAAACGTGTCTGAATATTGAGCATGACACAAAATGTCATGAATGCTTAAAGTTGCGGGTCCTTCAGCTCACGGAGGAAGATGCGAAGGGAAGGAGGGTGTTTTGTCAGACCCGGGGTGAGAATGTCCCTACATAAACAAAGGGCCCGGGATTGGACGTGGTCTTTAGGGAAGGGGGGGGCGTATTGGGGGAGCGGGAGGGTGTGAGGGGGAAAGAGCGGAGCTAGCTGTGCCCGCCAGGTTGGGAAGCCGGCGGGCGGCAGGGAGGAGCGGGACGCCGGGAGCGGAGCGCGTGGGGCGGCGGAGGGGAGGCGGGCGGGAGGCGGCGGGCGGGCAGGCCGGTGTGAGCTGTTTGGCCACCGGAGCCAATCGAAAGCGGGGCCTTGATCCTCTCCCCGGGCAGTGGCTGCGCCGAGCCAGTGCCGCGCTCCCCGCAGCCGTCGGGACCGGCACAGCCGCCTCGCTCTGTCCGCGCACCGCTGGCCCCACCGAGCGCCTATGGGCATCTGCAGCCGGCCAGGGCTTCGCACCACCGGCAGCAGCGGCAGAGGGCGGCGACCGCCACCCCGCTTCATCGCCTCTTGGGATCTATAGCCGGCGGACGGAGCGCGCTGCAGACCCTTCCCCGCCTTCGTGCAGGTAAGGGGCGGCCGGGGGGCGCCCAGCGCCCCGACCCGGCACCGCTCCTCTTGCGGGCGGCTCGCTCCCTTCCTCCTCCTCCTCCTCCTCCTCCCCTGCCCTGCTACCGCCCCTCCGGGGACAGGCGGCGGGGCCGCGGGCGCGGTGGCGGTGACAGCGCGGGGCCGCCGCAGCCCGGTCCCGCACGGCGCCGTCCCGCACCACCGCGCCCCTCTGCCGCCCGGCCCGGCCCGGCCCGGCCCCGCTCGGCTCGGCTCGGCGCGGCGGGGGAGCTCGGCGGGGCCGCGCTCGCCTCGGGGGAGCGGCGCGTCCGAGCCCTCGCCGCCCGCGGGGCGCTTGCAGGGGCACGGAGCGAAATCAGCGAGAGCGGCGCCGAGTCTGGCTGCCTTGCTCCGAGCGCCCTGGGAAGTCTCCTGGATGGCCAGGTTTCCCAGCGTTTGGAGCGTCGCGCGTCGCGTCCCCACGCTCCCTCGCAAAGGAAAAAGAAAGACAAACCAGAAAAAAAAAAAAAATTAGCTCGTGCTGGAAACCTGTGCCCCTTTGTACCTTTCTTTCTTTGCTTTGGGTTAATGATGGTTTGTGATTATGAAACCCCACGAGGGATCCGCTCCAAGAGCGAATAGCATTACTTGAAGTCATGACTTTGAAATATACGTGTGTGTATACAGACACTCGTTTTTTCTTTTTTTTACGTTGAATTTGAGGATTATACAAACCCATGTCTGTCTCGGAAGGAGCTCTCGAATGGCTTTCTGCTAAAGTTAAGGAAATATTTGTGCTTCCACAGGTCTTGCAGAATTGGAGGCACAGGTCTTATAAAAAAATTGCAGTGGCATTTGGCTGAGCAGCTCTTATTTTTAGCATGCTATTGTGAAAGTGGTTATATAACTTTTGGTGGATTTTTGAGGACAAAATTAACAGCTCATAACAAGTTAAATCTTTTTTTTTTTTTTCCCTCTGAAAGGGGAGAAATAAACAGAATGAAATCCCAAATGACTAGTCATTTGCCAAATGATAGAGATTCCCTGAGAAAAAGCCCCAGGTTAGGAATCCCACAGCCCTCTCAACAATCAAGAAGCAGCAGGTGCAAGACCAAGCAATGTCAGCTCAGAGCCCCAATTAGGAAGTTGCTTATCAGGCTACTTCAAGGCTATTTCTTGCTCAACCAGGGTGAAATTAGCAATCACTTCAGAATCTTGTGTTCCCACCCGTGCCAATACAATACAGATGCTGTGTTTCTTTAGGGGATTAGATTGTTTCTTGAACTTCAAAAAGTACACACAGCCTGAAGTATTTGCTTATAATGCTTTATGTATTTTAATGCAGATGCTTCACTTGCAGAACTTGGTTCCTGCTTCTCAGGCTGCTCTTTCTTCATTTATTGCAAAAATTGACGTAGTGCAATACCCTAAGATTAAAAAAAAAAAAAAAAAAAATCACTTCCAGAAAGTAACTGTGTGGAACAGCAGTGTGCCTATGCTGAGACCCAGGACATGAGGGTGCTGTGACAGTGTTCAGGCTCTGAGCAAGTGGTCTCTCTCTCACTTCTTTTACATGGTCCTCATGAACTGCTGTCATCCAAGTGAAGTCCCAAGTTCTAAAAATCTGTGATCACTGTGCAGCTGAAAAGAGAGGACTGGTTTGTAAAATCTCTGTTGTAGGATGAGTGAGAAACCTAGCAAGTAGGATTTTGTCTTTTCACCTCTCTTGCAGCCCGCTGTTTGGGCAGAGCTCTTTTATGTGGGAAGCAGGCATGTGTGGTAGCAGCGAGTTTTGCTCAGTCTTCTTTTGCAGTATAAGTAAGTGAAAGATGTGTCAATTAAAAGCCTCTCTAAGACCTCCACAAGAGCACCACAAAAATAAATGCCACTAATCCAAGGTTTTGAGCTGATTTGTTTAGCTGAAATATAGTGTTTTTCTTTTTTTATCTTTCAAATAGACTGTGCTTGACTTTTAATGGGGAATAGAACAAATGTATAAAGAGTTGAATTTAACTATAGAGATTTTTTTCTTTTCATAGTATCAGGTTAGGGTAAAAATTAATATCTGAAGTACCCAGTGAACTGCATCAATAAATTGGAAAATGCTTAGTTTGAGTTACCATTTGTCATTGTCTGTGAAAGTGTAAATCTCAGAGATCCAGATAATCTTTTGTAATAAATAGTCCTGTTTGAGTTTTGTTTAATAAATCTGGTAACTGGTTTAATTCTACTACTATTGCTAAAATAATGTAATAATTCTAACCCAATCATCAGAAACTGGTAAATTCCAATTTGGGATTGGTACAGTGGTATTTACCAATTTCTGATCTAGAGTTAGAATTTTTTCAATGAGCAATTCCAAGTTACTGAGTAAGAATAGAGTAGTTCACGCTACTGTGCAGATTTACTGACATCTGAAAAATATCTTAAAGAGTAGCAAAAAAAAGTCTTTCCCTCCTCATGCAGATGCTCTTGGGTGTGGTTGTACATTATAGTGTTGTGGTTCATGTCAGTGGGCTTTTGATGCCCATCCTTCGATTCCACTTACTGTCCATCTCCATATACCTCATGGTGGGCCAGTTGGATTCCTTTAAGATGAATCTAAACTAAGAGACGTGCTAGAGTTGTTTCTGGGAATACAATCCATAGGACCATATACAGCCTGAAGTAAAACCCTGTAAAATACATAGAGTGTCTTCTGTGCCTGTCAGTCCCTGTTGGGCGGTGCTAGCTGCAGCAGTAGACGTGGTCCATTTGCAGCATGCTGTTACTGAGGTACCATGCAGCCTAAAGCCCATACTAGCCATCTGCCTCAGGGGTGTGGACTAGTCCCTGCTTCTTGCACCATTGCTCATATATCTGTTACTAAAAAACTCCTGGCTGAGCTGGACAGCACAGCCCTGCAACCTACCAGGGCTGTCTTGCTGAAATCTCTTCAGTTCAAAATGAAGATGGCTAATTATTTTTTTTCCCTAGTTTGGCATGTGGTAGCAGACTAGTTTTTGACGGGGAAATTTGGATAGTTGTAGCCTTGTGCTTGTCTGCTGGGTGTGGACACAGCAGCTTTAGGAAAGGACAGCTGGTGCTTCTTCATGGTTGTTTGCCTGTCACTGGCCATAGCCCTTCTGCGTATAAGGGTCCATAAGGCTGTTTATGTTCTTCATTGCGTTTGGGAGTGGTGAGAAATGTTGGCTTAAGACTTTAAAACTGTCATTTAGAAATGCTAGAAATGCTTCACTGTGTTCCCTTAGTGCAGCATTGTGGTTGACTGCATCTCCCACAGGGCACTAGAAGTATTGCCTAGGAGATCTCACCTGTGGGGGTAGCTCCTGGATTCCAGCACATGGTGAGAATCATGCCCTGATCCTGGTGTCTGGTTGCCTCAGGCAGGGGGAAATGTTTAAGGGGAGATGTTTAGAAACATCCACTTAAAACTTCAAGCTTGCTTAAAACACATTAAACCTTTTTTTCTGCAGTTTTTGCTGTAAAGGGAAAAAAATTTCCATTCTCTGTTTTTTAGTCATTTGGCTGGCTTCTTACAGTTTCATGTTTTTCTTTAGTTTTCTTCTTTGGGGTAAATGATTTTAAATTATAAACAGTTATCTCTTTTATGAAAGCATTTCTTACTCTGAAATATACTATTTGAATAATTAGGGATCAGATCCGTCTTTCATGTAGAAACAGAAGATAGTTGTCATTGCTGCAAAAAGGGGATTTCTAACCAGTTCTTCAGTTTTACATGCATTTCCTTCAGATCATGATGGAAATCGTAGGATTGCATGTGTAGAGCATGCTTGGTACAAATATTCTTTTTGTTCTAGATCACTGTGACTGCTCCAAGACTGCTTTTAGATTGCGGAAAATGTTGTGCTATGTGGAACAATAAGAAGTTAAAAAGAAGAGAGTGTTTCCTACTCCCGTGACTATATTTCTGTTGCTAGAAGTTGTCGGCTCCAAGTCCTATTTCAATGCATAGCTTCTCTGTGGGATGAAGTATAGATTTTAACATGAGTTGTGTAGATGATGGTATGTCACTTGAAACCATGGTATTTCTTGTTCTCAATGCATTAAGCCTTTTATTAGCAATTTTAAGAAGATTTTTGAAGCCTGTTTCAGAAAGGGAAGTAGACCATAAAAATCTGTCTCGCTCCAGGACATTAAAACAGAGGGCAATCCATCTTTCAATATCTGGTGTGATACAGTCGTGGCAACTTCAGTTGTAACCTGTCTTTCTCAAAAAGTCATCTTACAGCACCTAGTTTTAACATATTTTTTTGTTCTGTGCTTAAGCATACTTATCTATGACATTCTGAATATTTTGTTCTTTGTTGCTGTTCAGATAATATCTCTAAGAGTTATAATGGTGCATTTTAGATTAATCGTAAAAGCTAGGGGAATTTACTAAGGTCAGTTTTTCATATAGACCATGCGGCCATTGGTTATACTGTAAACATGAGTTGTATATAGAAATATGCATGCTACTGTCTTTATTACAAGATTTTTAGAGAAAGAAAAAGGGTAAATTTATCTCTCATTCCCAACAGTTTTAAAGTCATTGTTGCTTAGGAAGTGATTATTTGAAGAAGCCATAATTTGCAATGAAGCTTGCGGAAATGAAAATTGTGATCTACTCAAGTAGAGAAAGACTCATAAAAATTTTGTTTCCGTCTATTTTGTGCTAAGGAAGTGGGACAAGTAAAGTACACTGCAAAAGGCAAATATATTATTTACCCTCCAAATTTTATTTTGGAACCACTTTTTATTGAGTGTGATGGGCAGTGCGCAAATACAGCATCAGACTGTGGGTTTAACACAATAAATCTTGAAAATTTCCTGAATTTTTAACATCTCTTAAAACTTGGAAACAACACTTGTACAGCTCATGCCTTGTTGACCTTGTGTTGTACAAACACTTTCTGGAGTTGGAAAACTGTGATGAGCTGGTCTAGATGTGAATTAGTTGCCCGTCTCCATTTACATGCAGTGTTGTTGTGGATTCCAGCCATGTCTCATCTATCC